TGATTGCTGCCTCCTGTACAATGTCATAAACCTCCATCCATACTTCTTCAGGCACTCTGTCTATCAAATCTAGTCAAACCTATTGTTCACCTCCACTGTATATTCATCAGTGATATGCTCTGGGTCAAACCTGAATGGCCTAGTGGTTTAAGAACATAAGAACATAAGAGACGCCAATGTTGGATCAGGCCAAAGGCCCATCCAGTCCAACACTCTGTGTCACACAGTGGCCAGAAATACCAGTGCCATCAGGAGGTCCAGCAGTGGGGCCAGGACATTAGAAGCCCTCCCACTGTTGACCCCCCCAAGCACCAAGAAGATAGCGCATCACTTGCCCCAGAGCCCCTATCTATACCTTGTGGCTAATAGCCACTGATGGACCTCTGCTCCATATGCTTATCTAATTCCCTTTTGAAGCCGTCCATGCTTGTAGCTGCCACCACGATGATGGTAAAACAATGATGGTGGCAGCTCCTATTCGAAAGCCTGGTGGAAGAGCTCCGTCTTACAGGCCCTGCGGAATGTCGTGAGAGGCTTGTCTGAATAATAATAATAATAATAATAAGTGCTGTCAAGTCACTCACAGCTGACTTACGGCTACCCCCCATGGGGTTTTCAAGGCAAGAGATGAGCGGAGACAGTTTGCGATTGCCTCCTTCTGTGTAGCGACCCTGGTCTTCTGTGGTGGTCTCCCATCCAAGTACTAACCATGGCTGACCCTGCTTAGCTTCTGAGAGTGGGCTAGCCCAGACCATCCAGGGATAAGCAGAGGCGGTTTGCCATTGCCTGCCTCTGCATAGCCACCCTGGACTTCCTCGGTGGTCTCCCATCCAAGTACTCACCAGGGCCGACCCTGCTTAACTTCTGAGATCTGACGGGATCAGGCCAGCCTGGGCCCTCCAGGTCAAGGCGAGAGACCTTCAGAGGTGGTTGGCCATTGCCTGCCTCTGCATAGCCACCCTGGACTTTCCTGTGAGGTCTCCCATCCAAATACTAACGAGGGCCAACCCTGCTTAGCTTCCCAAGAGCTGATGCAATCGGGCTAGCCTGGACCCTCCAGGTCAAGGCAGGAGACAAACGGATGCGGTTTGCCCTTGCCTGCCTCTGCATAGCCACCCTGGACTTCCTCGGTGGCCTCCCATCCCAGTACTAACCATGGCTGACCCTGCTTAGCTTCCCAAGAGCTGATGCAATCGGGCTAGCCTGGGCCATCCAGGTCAGGGCAGGAGACGAACGGAGGTGGGTTTGCCATTGCCTGCCTCTGCGTAGCAACCCTGGACTTCCTACCATGGACTTCCTCGGTGGTCTCCCATCCAAGTACTAATGAGAGCTGACCCTACTTAGCTTTGGAGATCTAACAAGATAGGGCTCTCCTGGGGCCATCCCGGTCAAGGCAAGAGATGTAGAGAGGCGGTTTGCCACTGCCTGCCTCTGCACACCTGGGCAGGGTGATGCCCGGACCCCCTCGGCGGTCTCCCACCCAAGTGCTAACTGGGGCCGACCCGGCTTAGCTTCTGAGATGTGGTGAGACGGGGCTCGCCTGGGCCATCCAGGTCGAGAAAAGAAAAGAGATGACCAGAGGTGGTTGGCCGTTGCCTGCCTTTGCAGAGCGACCCTGGAAGTCCTTGGTGGCCTCCTTGGCCGTTGCCTGCCTTTGCAGAGCGACCCTGGAAGTCCTTGGTGGCCTCCCATCCTGGTCCTAACCAGGGCTGATCCTTCTTAGCTTCTGAGATGTGGTGAGACGGGGCTGACCTAGCCCATCCAGGCCAGGGTGGCCCCATGATACCCGGGCAGTGCTTTTTTCAAAGACCAGGGCCGCTAGGCGACTGACCCTCCCTGGCCACACCCACTCTCTGTGACATCACAGGCCCCGCCCACAGCACAAGAGAGACCCGGCAGGCAGGCAAGGAGACCAGAAAGGGGGAGAAGGACAGCCAGGCTAAGGAGGGAAGGTTGAAGACAAGTTCTTATTTTATTTTAACTTATGGTAGATTTTTCTAAGCAAGAGATGTTCAGAGGTGGTTTGCCATTGCCTCCCTCTGCGTAGCAACCCTGGACTTTCTTGGTGGTCCCCCGTCCAAGTACTAATCAGCACTGACCCTGCTTAGCTCCCCAAGAGCTGATGCAATCGGGCTAGCCTGGGCCATTCTGCTCAGGGCAGGAGACAAACAGAGGTGCTTGGCCATTGACTGCCTCTGCATAGCGACCCTGGACTTCCTCGGTGGTCTCCCGTCCAAGTGCTAAGCAGGGCCAACCCAGCTTAACTTCCAAGGCATGCCGAGATTGGGCTCTGAGCGATTCAGGCTGCTCCTGTTCTGAACACTTGAGCGCCGTGACTCCTTTTCCCGGGTTGACATGACAGACTTTTTTTGGGGGTGGGGGGGGCATCGGTTGGCTGAATTCTGAAATTACTCAGATTTAGTGGTTGCTGGAAGACAGGATTCTGTGGAGTTGGATGGAGGAGATAAGTGGTTGCAATGTGACCTGAATGATGGGGCAGTCTGGCCCAGATGCCACTGTGCCCCCCCGGCCCTCCAATGGTGCTTGGCTACCTATTTCGCAGTGGCCCCACATCTTCCTGCAGCTGTCCCCTTCCCCACTCCTCCACTCACAGGCTGCTGGATGTCCTTGGGCAAGCCATAGTTCTCTCAAGGGCAGTCCTGGAAAGAGCTCTCTCAGCCCCGCCTACCTCACAGGGTGTCTGTTGTGGGGAGGGGAAGGGAAAGGAGTTTGTAAGCCCCTCTGAGACACCTCTGGGTAGTGAAGGGCATGGTATAAACCCAATCTCCTCCTCCTCCTCCTCTTCTTCTATTTGGTGTAGTGGTTAAGTGCGCGGACTCTAATCTGGGAGAACCGGGTTTGATTCCCCACTCCTCCACTTGCACCTGCCGGATGACCTTGGGCAAGCCGTAGTTCTGGCACAGCTGTTCGTGCAAAAGAGCAGTTTCTGTCAGAGCTTTCTCAGCCCCACCTACCTCACAGGGTTTCTGTGGTGGGGAGGGGAAGGGAAAGGAGTTTGTAAGCTCTCTGAGACTCCTTTGGGTAGTGAAGGGCGGGGTATAAATCCAATCTCCTCCTCCTCCTCCCCTTCTTCTTCTTCTTCTTCAGTTAAGTGCGCGGACTCTAATCTGGGAGAACCGGGTTGGATTCCCCACTCCTCCACTTGCACCTGCTGATGTGACCTTGGGTCAGCCACAAGCTCTGGCACCGCTGTCCTTGAAAAAGAGCAGTTTGTGTCAGAGTTCTCTCAGCCCCACCCACCTCACAGGGTGTCTGAGTGGGGAATCAAACCCTTGCGAGAACAGCTCTGAAAGAACTTGTAACTGAACCCAGGTCACACCAGCAGCTGCACGTGGAGGATTGGGGAATCAAACCTGGTTCTCCCAGATTAGCGTCCGCGCTCCTGACCACTACACCAAACTGGTTCCTGATGTACTAGTTTTTTTTTTTACTGTGCAGGAAAGTGATGCAATTCAAACGAGTACATGCAGTTTCTGTGAACATGTCAGTCAGATCTGAAACTTCAGGCTAAGCATCTTTGTTTTACAATCTCCGTGGGATTGTAGAGTTTAGAATGTTGCATTAGGATCTGGGAGACCCAGGTTCAAATTCCCAGTCCACCATGGAAGCTCGCTAGGTGACCTTAGGCCAGTCACACACTCTCAGCCTCACGTACCTCGCAGGGTTGTCGTTTCAAGGAGAAAATGAAGGCGAGGGGAATGCTGTAAGCCACCTTGGGTAATTAATTATCGTATGGCAGTGAGTGTCGTATAGCCAGGAGATCCAAAGGTTATCTGGCAGCCAGAATTCTAGCTCTTTTTGAGTCTAATCTGGGAGAACTGGGTTTGTTTCCCCAGTCCTCCACTTGCAGCTGCTGGATGACCTTGGGGCAGTCACAAGTTCTCTCAGAGCTGTTCTCTCAAGGGCAGTCCTCAGATAGCTCTCTCAGCCCCACCTACCTCAGAGGGTGTCTGTTGTGGGGAGGGGGAAGGGAAAGTGGTAGTAAGCCACTCTGAGACTCCTTCGGGTAGTGAAGGGCAGTGTATAAATCCAATCTCTTCTCCTCTTCTTGTGCTGAGGAAACTGTGACTGACCCAAGGTCACCCAGCTGGCTTCACGTTCAGGAACATGGAACGGAACCAGGTTCTCCAGATTAGAGTCCACCGCTCTTAACCACTACACCAAGCTGGCTCTCTGCCACCTTGGGTCCCCACTGGGAAGGAGAATGGGGTAGAAATGAAGTAAATAAGTAAATAAATAAAATTTATTTCTGTAATTTGTGTCCCACCATTCACATGGGGGAGTTTGCTCTGTCTCCCATTCAAGGAATTAACTAGGTCCAAGATCATTCATCCAGCCTAGAATAAGCACGTTTAGGCTGCATATGTGTGAAGACTTTTTCTTTTCCGTTTTCCCTTTAGTTAAACCTTTAAAAGGAGACCATCTTTCTAGAGCCATCGGAAGAATCGCCGGGAAAGGCGGGAAGACCAAGTTCACTATCGAAAACGTCACGAGGACACGGATCGTGCTTGCAGACTCGTAAGTTACATCCTCCGGTCTTTTTTGCCTTGCGAGTATGATGGACTCCCAGTGAGCCGTGGCTCAAACGCATTGATTGGGGTTTGCGATGTTTTTGAAACTGTAGGCTTCTTTTGGACTTCTGACATAGCGCGGTGGGCACAGCCGCAAAATGGGTTTCCACAAATCGGCTGCCCCCCAAGAGGCAGAACCAGGCACAAAATGGCTGGAGCGTCTTACCTTCAGTCACACAGTTGAAGACCCTTGTGCCACAGTGGCAGCTGCGGCCAGTGTTCCCTTTAAGCTGAGTTAGTGTGAGCGAGCTCACGGTTTTTTAGCCTCCGGCTCACACATCTTTGTCTCAGCTCAGGAAGGATGGCTCCAGAGGTTTGATTCCCCACTCCTGTGTTAGTTTTGTAGTCTTATAAAAATAATTAAAAAATCCCCTCCGGAGGCTTAAAAAAAATAAAAGATTATAATGCCCCTGCAGGGGTCTACGACGTGGCCTCCTTTGGAATGCCATGTACAGTTCTGGTCACCGTATCTCAAAAAGGACATTGCCGAGCTGGGAAAAGTGCAGAAGTGGGCAACTAAGATGATGAGGGGGGTTGGAGCCCCTTC